CAGTTTATAAGATCACATAAATAAATATATCAACTATCTATGCCGAGGTTCATAGAAAGTCGGTCTTTCGAGTTATTAAGTGATGCAAGATCATCAAGTGATAGCAACTTGTGTTTTAATAAGTAGGTATAGGACGGGACATGTTGGTTTTTCGATTTTAAAGTGCGAAATAACCGATGATTTTAAACGTGCAGGCTTTGCCACACTGATCCATTGGTTGTTCAGCTTTCGGTAATGACTTTTATATTCCTTTTCAGAGGATGGGCGATAGAGGGTAGCATCACTAAGATGTTCCTCTGTTATCTCAAAATTCAGCTGGCGAGAAATAAATACGAACTTTCCCCCCTTATCAATAACAGACAATCTTATAGTTTTGGAGTTTATTAATTCCCTAATTTCTCGCATGCCACATTTTTGTGTGGTTGATAAGCTTTCTATCGCGGTAGTGATTAAGGGTCTTGAGAACGCCGTCCGAAAACATGCGGAATTTTATATCAACTACATCGTTAGGGTCCTGCTGTCTAAAGAACGTTTTTGGGAAAGGAGATGGTGGTAGTGTCGCTGCCTCTTGATTTTTATCTCCATTTGATGTTTCTTGTTTGGCCTGATAGAGGAGTCGATCTTGAACCTCATAAAGGTTGCATGCTGTCCTACACAGGGTCGTTTTAGAAATGGACTGTGATGGTGTAAAACATGGGCCCAATTCTAATAGCGAACGCGCACTCTCAGCTATTGTTATGCCCTCAATCACGTTGACCCTAGATTTTCTTGGTGCATTATCAACCTTATTTTGACCATTATCAGAATCATAAAGAATTTTCGGAAAGAAATCGGTGATGAAGAACAGAATGGCAACCCTGTGGAGGTCTGAACGAGGCAGCTTCATCTTTTCGTGAAGATAAGATCGATCTCCGCATATATCATTCCCGTAGAAGACTGCCATGTAGCGCGATTTCGAGAAAAAAGAGAATCAGCATTGAATATAACGGTAGAGGCAGAAGACGAGTCTTTAAGTCGAAGCCGATAACATATTCTTGCAAGAAAATAAACCATATGCAGGAGGTAGACTATCAGAGGACTATAAAAATCGTGAAAACGGGTCGTCTTTGTAAAATGAAGAATTCGGTCACTCGGCTGTTAAACTAATAACTGACAACTTTAAGAGATCTTTAAAAATAAAGCGATTCTTGAACTTGGGGCCACCACTTTGTGCCAAAAATAAGAGCACAAGTTGCAACGTTATTATTTTGCCGTGCTGTTCTCTTATTATGTTATGCCTAAAAATTACTACTACTACTATTACTATGATTAATATTAATACCATTATATTGCAATTACAAATCAGACTAGATATCATTGTTCAGTAACCAGATCAGTGCTATGAAAGCACCTAGTCGTACGAAGGGCACTCCTCACGAAGACCATCCAGACCAACAATCATCACGGCTCTACTACCAACCTGACAAAACACCAGCGAGGTAGATGACGATGACTCGCCACTGGTGGACGAGCTCGAGAGGAATTCCAAGGAGTAGTTGAGTCAGCACGTTGAACACAAGATGATAAAGTCTGTAAAATATTCATAAGATGAAATCAAACAACGGACACACGTATGAAGTTGTGGAAATATTGACCTAAAACATACGAACATCCAGATCCATCTCTACCTATGTGGTTATCAAGTGAGCAGACGTGATTTTTTTCGAAGATATGTCGCTCTTTTACAAATGAACTCTGAAGTTTACAAATAATGCAGTGGACTTGGTTGAGTGCATTTTCTTTCAAAGGACTTTACCCTGCCCACTTGTAAACTGGTCTGTGAGAATATTTCAGTTCACCAGTACAGCCATCTTCCCAAGTTTACGTTTAAGGTTTGCAAGAGTAGTGTTCCTGGGTTAAGCATCTAATATTCTGCTCGAGCAATCGGCATTGCCCGCTCTCTTAGGAATGGACCATGGATTCGAATTCACCAAGCATCCTAGAGATGTATGATGCATGTTCGGCCTATATAGTGGCTTTCGCTGGCCTACCGATGTATCAAGCTCATGTATTACACTCTAAGACAAGTCTGCTATCAGCTTTGCGACTCCGAAGGGATGGAGGGTTTAATCACTCCAGTATAGAAATAAGGACTACTTGCGCATTTCAGGGATCTCTATCCATTGTGCTATATGCACCACTCATATTCTTTATATAGAAAAAAGGATGATGTTAACAAGCCATGGTATGAAAAACAATACCGACCCAATGTGGATAAACATGTAAGTGATAAATCGCCATAGTTCTTCCTTTCTATAGGGATTGAAGATAAGCACAGACTTAGTCGGCACGGGTCCTGTGATACTCAGACCTTTGTTGGATTCCACGGTATAGTAGATATAGATCGCAATCTGAAAGTACTTATTATTTTTATAAAAATTTCGCACAGGTAATCAAACCACTTTGTTTGTCTAGAAAAGAGTAAACACATGCCTGCACTATGCTCATAGTCGCCATGAAGACTGGGGGAGGACAACATTTGTATCTGAAGTGTCATTGATCAGACCGAATTACATAAGAGTGGTCACTTTCAGAAAACATTTACAATAGACTAGAAAAACTTTAGAAGGATGAATTTCTTGTTTGCAAAGCAACGAATGTCGTTTCGACAAACCAAGAACTGGAAAAGTTTTGAAAAAAAATCAATAGTGCAAGTAGTGAATGTAAACATAAGAAACGCCAAGTAAGGATGAAGAAAAAATCCATTATTGGTTTTTAAAATCGTCGCCGTCACCCTGTAAAGCGATGTCGCCTCATCAGAACTAGGACTAAGCCCTACCACCACGATCGAAGGCGCTGATGATTGTCGCTCACATAAATACCATTGTAAACCGACTTTCGTTATACCTCACTATGAAAGATCAATATATCTTGTCTCATTGATAAGCTAACACGAGGTTGGTACAAAATATTTACGCGTAGCGTTTTGAGAACTTCGCCTTCCTACGAGCCGATGATCCGAGTCGATGGTCCGGAGTCGTTCGTCTTCACGATGTGGTGTCTTCGTCGTCGTATCGAGTTCAATATTCTTTAGTGGGGCACCGCTCAAATAAGGCAACCTCACCCGCTGGCGCTCTTTTATACAAGATGGACAAACTCCGACTCGAAGGTGAAGACGTCGAAACGTTTGCCAAATAAATATTTGTTAACAACCTCGTGTTAGGTCGTCGGTGAAACAAGGTGCATTGCTCACGTAAGTGCTCGTCATCGTTCAGTCTTCTTCAGGGCCATTGTTGAAGTTTATTATTCCAAGCCTACTAAAGAGCTATAAAGACTGAACTTTGGTCGACTCACCTTTGCAAGTATGAGAATGGTTCGGTGCGTTTTGACCGAGGGACGACAAACTGTGCAGCCCGAAACATCAGATGCAAAAACCTTCGACGCTTCACTCGACTCATCTGCAACCAGAATCTCAGAACCACACATCTGCTTTCATATTCAACATTTCTATCAGTTCAGTACCTTTTCAGCTAAATTTTGGAGCTTGATTGCCTAACATGCTACCACTACACCCTCGTTTTTTGACAAGCGGACGTCGCCCATGTTGATGGTTTGACCAAATTTTGAGGTATCTAGTCAAAGATTTGCAATACTACCGAATCCTATCTGTACTAACTGATCACCGAAAAAAGTTACAGTAACCCAAACGAAACAACCAGGATATTTTAGAGGAGGACAGCCAAGCTATTAGCAGTCATAAGTGGAGGTGACATTTACATCGTAAAGCTATTGCTCGTTAATGCCAAAATTCTGCAATGTTATCTCAACGAAGCACCTGTAACAGTAAAATTGTCAGTGTAGAAAAATATTCAGGGGTTTGCAAGTAAATGAGGTTTTAAGGCAATGGTGAATTATCGATACTAATTGTAGGAATACGGGAAGAGCAACGCGTGGTTAGAACTCTCATGCAATTACACGCGCCTAATAGCTGCTTCGACTTCACACCTCTACAACCAATCCTATCCATAAACAGTAAACTGTAACGAGACTTCTCCGCGATAACATTTTATAGAGCTGTCCCAACGCTTCAAGTTGACCAACATTCCAACACCATTCATGAGGAAGACGAAGGCCTGAAGTCGTGGCCGAACCCGTACGCAAATAGGATGACCATGCCGCACAACACATGATGGCAGGTTATATAAATAAGCAGACTCCAGCAGTAACCCACATAACTAGTAATTGTGTAATCTTAAGAATTCAAAGCTAAAGGTCCGTAATTATCACAAATTTGGAGGAAAAAATGGATAAAAAACGGCTTCGACGACGGAAAAACCCAATGGTTGAATTGCCATCACGTGTATAATAAATGTCTTGGATTTTCTCTTAATCCAGGAAACAAAGACGTAAAAGAATTAAATATCCACGTGGAGAATGAAGAAAGACAGATGATGATAAAATAGCTGACTTTCATAAACATATCTGAAGTACAATCTATTGCCAGCCTCTTTTGTGCACATGTCTCATGTTCACTCAGTGGCGTATGACCCTATCGGGGCTTGTATGTTACTGGATGTCGATCAACGAAATATTTCAGGAGATTCACCTTTCGGCAAGGTACCAGTACTAGGAAGCAATACAATATTATCCTAATAAACTAAAGCAAGACTAAACCTATGGAAGTAATCGATGTATTTCTAGAAGAAGCATAAATTGTGACGTGAAATACTTTCGAATCTTTAATAAATAGACCGTGTGCAGTCGAGACCTCGAAAATCAATTCTTTTTTTTCATATTTTTTACTTCATGTTTTTATACCACCCATCTTCACATCCACTGTGTAGATCCCAGCACTTTTTTCATTTGTTCACTTCCTTGCATCTCTCATCCAAGATCTAATATTTCGTGCGTAGGCTCGCCTGCTGCTTTAAAATTTTCACCTTCCTTATGAACGTCGTAAAATGAAGGTCGATTTGATTCTCCTTTAGGTCCTATAGACAGGCTAGAAGCGCTCTCACTTGAAATAAATGGCATCATCACTACTATTGCATTATACAGCTCTGTTCTTTATAAGGAGATAAAAAGATGAAGCTTTCGCTGTTTATCAACCATTTAGGAATTGGTCACCAAATCGCACTTAATCGTGTAGTGCGGGTTGGTTGGATGGATGTATGGCTTAAACAGTGACTTCTGTTTGTTCACCGATGTGTGAAGGCAGTGCGGTTACCTACCAGAAAGGGATGGAACCAATGTTTTCTGACCTCGGAGAGAATGAAGGCTTGGACGTAGCGTGGGATCAAACCAAAGACCATAAAAGATAATGAAACGATAAAGGTTTGATTAATCTCTGAGGGTCGAGCCATGCATTCGACTTCGTTAAGCATCGTCGGAGGCGCATGCATATCTGCCCTTACAATAACAGGCGGTCGCTAGCAATGTATCGATCCACTGCTACTATCCTCCTAGACAAGTCTGGGACCAATTTGCCGATCCCGGAGGGATGGAAGGCTTGGTGAGCCTAGGGCGCGGAGATCGGTCCCATGTGCATTGCAGGGCGCCTCCGACCATTGCGCTACATGCGTCCTTAGACCAAACCAAAGACCATGTGTGTATTTATTCCAGGCCTCCTCTAACTAACGCGCTATACACGCCCGTTTTTCCAAATATATTACCAAATTCCCAGGTCCCATCGCAATCTTGCATAAAGTGATGAATTTCTGTTCCTAAAAACTGCCGTAAGCATAGAACATACATCGTTTACTTTTTTCTCTATTAGACTGTCTACCCTGCTAAATAACATCAAAACAGAAGATAGAGCGTAGATTTGAAAAAGCGATAACAAGTTCCATCATGAACTCGAACATAGGCGTAACTCGTGGACGACGTAGACACCACACAAACTCAACGACCGAGTTAACCAACACCTCTAAACTATACGAATAAACTAACAAAAGCCTGATGGTGAATATGAAAAACTTTTTTTTTCACCAGGCATTAATTTTGGCGTCCTTAAGGGGAATAAATTTTTAGATCCAACTTAATCGTAACGTTCATCAAATGGTCTAGAAGCAAACGACTGCAACATCACTTTCGCTAAGTATAAATGCTAAAAAAAAGTCTTTTTGTGAATGAGTATTTTATAACCATCTGTGGCAATCAATTTCAGATGGGTGCCTGATATAAGAACTCACAACATATCTGCATAAAAAAGAGCTCAAGATATCTCCCCACGCAACTCTGCTGAGTGCCAGCGCCGTTCAGAGGACGCAGAATTAGCCAGCGAACAGAGACTAGTTCTGGCTTGACACACATCTATGTCATAGCCATTATCGTGATTCTTGCGCTTACAAAGGCCTTCGCTAAATTGTAACATAAAATGTAACCCACCAGAGTACAGAACTCGGCAAAATCGATGAGTCTATCTCCATTTGCATCAATATTTCTCGTCATAGCGTTCACTTCTTCCGGATCGAAGCCAAACGAGAAAGCGGCTTCACGAATACTTCTTTTGAGATCCGTCGTTGGAATGAACCCGTCATGGTCGACATCGAACTAAACATTTCATTACAATACTTCGGTCATATACTAGCATTTTTTTCAACATTCCTGCTCCTTCAGATGACTTCAAATAAATGAAAAATTAAGAAATCGAGTTTCATCAAAGAAATTTCCAATAGGTAACTGCCTCACAGAGGCAGTAGACTGTTGCTCACAATACAACTGCAACGCTACAACGCAGAGCAGAAGCTCTGCACGACTACACGTGCTTAGAAGGAATTTGTCTTCTTCAGAAAATCGAAGCATCTGACCGTAATACAAGAACATTCACCCATCCATTTACTGGATCTGCATCCCGTGGCGTAAAAAAAGCATCAGATTTTTAAGCATAGCGCCTGACCATGAGGTACATTCAAGACCATCAAACTCTTTTAGGAGCCCAGGACACCTAACAGCTCGGCCAAAAGTGGTGTATTGGAGACAGCAACAAATGAAGAACAACACAAAATCAGATGGAAGGACTCACAGCTCTGAAAAGCCTGACCCATGATGAGGCTTCTGACTCATACCTCATCTCATTTGGCACTTTGTAGTGCATCTTTCTAGTTACACTCATGTAAACCTGAAAAAATAGTGGAAAAAAGCAGTAGTCTCAAAGTTTTACCATTAATGTACATTTAAGAGTAACCATTCCGCTTTTATTCAAAGTGGTTTGCCTGAGAGCAACTAAGAAATCACAGATCTGGATGGAAATACGCACAAAATTAAAGGATTTATCCACACAATGTCCTTCGGTTCCCAAGCATTTCGAAGATAATTCAATTTATGGCAACAACGATGTTCCGCTAATTTCTTATGCAGTTCGTACCCAAGGAGTAACTTGATCAACGATAGTAATAGAAATTTGGAAGCAAGCCGAATTTGGACGTAACTCCCATGTAACGTAGCCTAGCAACAAGCCCATAGAATTTTCGGTTGTAAATGCCCCTTTCAAACAAACGAAAAACTAAGAGGATCAGATGATTCTGTCACATATAGATAAGAACAGTGGGCCAATCAACTACGGCTTATGACTCGAAAAAACTACCAGTAGGTAATAACGCTTATGAGAACCATCAATAACATGATATATTATAATCGCATTTACAAAGTAAAGAAACAGAAACTGATTGTCGCTGAAAGCATCGCTTTGTGTAGCGGAGTGTAGAAGTTAAGAGAACACTACGGTAAAGGAGAGTACACCACTGCATCCCTGGTGGCACAGCTACTGAACAGTGAAAGAGTTTTTTTTTCACTTTTTCTTATCTTTTCGAGAATATTCTAATAAATCAAATGTCGACAGCGGTAGAGTAGTTCGAATTGATCAATCCTCTGGAGATGCCCCCTCCATCCCACTCCACTGAGTATCACAGAGATGAACGAATGGATATTTCACATTTACAATAACTTGCAAAGGGATACCGACGCTTCAAGTCAATGTTTCATCCTCATAGAAAGTTTGGCACCAATATGCACATCTTGAAAGAATGAAGGGGTTGGTTTGCATTGATGCGAGGTCGAAACAATGGCATTTATATATTGCGGAGCATCTCTCTAACCCTTGCGCCACAATTCCACATCTTTGCGCATTAACAGAATAATCAAAAATATTCCAAGGTACAAGCTATCACAATCTAGGACCTGGTTTAAATCACGATATTTTCACAAGAAAAGTATCATTCTAATGGAACTAATTATTTGTATGCTGGCCAATGAGTGGCCGCATTCCGACCAGTCTTCTCTATCTGGATTCAACATTCCTTAATCACTTATGAAAACCAAAAAAAATCATCATTAGCAATTTTGATGAAGACTGCCTATAGATATAAAAAACTCAATAAGGTACTTCTTTCACCGAAAGCTTAAATATGCCTTGAAGTTAACGCTCGCTTTCCCTGATTCAAGCAGAACATTTCCATTCCATGTAGATAAGCTGTCATAACAACTATAGTAGTCCGTGGGTGTTTTTCATCATGCCCTTTCAACACTTACTTGATACTTGAATGGCCCGACCTCACTGGTTGTGCGGGTCTCAGCATAATCTCCATTTTTCGAAGATTTGCTGGTTAAGCCATTATGGTTCCCTGGAGTCCTGAGGTCAACCTGGCCAAAGTCTGCCACAGGTTTTCACCATCACACCACCACAGGCAGTCGCAGCTCTTGTGGATCAGAGGGAGATTTACCACCATGCGACTTTGATACCAGGATCGCGATAGATCCTGCTATTGCTTTACTCTTAGCTAGGTTTCTTGATAGAAACGCCGTTCTTCTTCTCAGCTTGGGAAACCCTGCCAGGGGATAAATCCCCCGCTGTACATCGCAGTCCGACACCCAGGAACACCTCCCAGCCACGATGAAGCGGTAAACCGTTCGGAGGGGTCTTACACCCGCCATGCGTTTTCAATCCGATCTTCCCCAGAATATCACTTTAAGACAGAACTGTTCACTGAAAAACTTTCCATATCCTTTGATGGCCAGCCACAAATAGTGAAACGTTTCACAAGCACTGTATCAGTACAGGAAAATCGCAAACGAAAAACCATGCCATAAAAGAAGAGGTAATAGAAAGAATACGACTTATATATGATTCATACTGACGCCAAATTTGAAATATTATCAAGTGGCGTGTAATCATGTCAAAGGACATACAAAGCTCCGAGTAGGACAAAATCACCAGACTTCCACTTCTTGCGTGAAAAATTTTATGTGACACTTGGATGAAGCCCATATAGCAGTGATATAATTCCAAAAAGTATAAGAGAAAGACTGACACAATACAAATTCAACGCCGAAATCACGCAGGAAATAAATCAAAACAGAAAATTTGTGATATAGGAGGGAAGTATATCTTTTCAATAACTTCTCATCCAAGACATTTGTAAAGATCGCTAGCTAAGCAGTTATAGGCACTATAGGCTCCAGTCCATGGAGCGGATAGCACAGTGGTAGTGATGTCTGTCAACACGATCATGGCGCTAGTTCGATTCTGCTCCGGACCAACCAAGACCCTCATCCCTCCGTGGTCAGGAAACTGGTACCGGTCGTCTCTGGAAAAAAATGACTCTCTGCAATCCAATTGGGTACGCTCCAGCCCGGCTAACCCAGGACTCCAGGGAGAATTGCTTGACCAGCATTCTACGATATTCAAGGTGAAATTTAAAATCCTCAAGCAGCAACTGAAGCCACGTGTAAAAGTTAGAAAATCTTCGTGGATGATGGATGCAAGGGAACGAATTGGATGTGAGAAGTACTGGGACCCGCAAAGTATTCATGAAACGGGTCAAATAAAATAAAAAAAAATAGGCTCTAGTGCATGCATCCATCATCTACTGCAAAATATCCGCAGAAAAAAATTTCTTTTGAACAGCTGCAACGTTAGCTGGACGAGTCGAAATTTATGGCAAAGGTCACTTTTTATGGCCTTGAGAATTATGCATAAGAACATAAAATGCAGTACACAAGCGACCTTCACCATCATACGTTTTGTCCTGGCACTGCGAAGCTGTTTTAACTGCTAACTGAAACTCGAAAACAGGGCACTGTTGAAAGTAGCTGTTGAATACAAAAGTGGATACCCAACGCATTCTATGACCGATTACTATACCTGAGAACCATTTGGAGACCAATTTCAAAGCTTGGAATATCGTGCTCTATTAGCGAATGAGTAGGAAGATGGTTGGTCACGATATTACCAGGGAATACAGTATCATGACATCATATTCTTCTTCTTTAGCATTTCCATCACTTTCGTTTGCATATATCGTAAAGGTCGTCGCGTCGTGAATGACGGAATTAAAGACATTGATATGCAGACCCGCAGATTCCGAACTGTTGAATCCATCTTCAACTGATTTTTAATAAGAATTGTCATGTTTTCGCAATTCACTTGCGCTTTCAGTCAAAAGCATTGGAACTGTTCTGGCAGGTAGTAGCCAATCCCATTTAGCATAGAAATAGCAAATTCAACATAAATGTATATGGAGAATAGCAGTTTTCATTTCCGTGTCATCCGTTGCTGATTATGGAAAATAGCCCTGTCACAATGAGTCGTCTCCCTTTCCTAGAAAAACAAAAGGATAAAAACCCCTGATGTTGTTGAATCCCTGAGGGTTCTGCCATCGACTTCAGTGAGTATCGTTTGGAAGCGATTGAGTGATTTCTGGCCTTTACAATGACTCGCTGTGGCCAACTGATGTATTGCGCCAGTGGTACTGACCTCCCAGACAAGTCTGGTACCAATTTGCCGACATCAGAGGGATGGAAGGCTTGGTGGGTGAGGGACGAGGGAATCGATCCCATGTGTATTGCAAGGCGCCTCCGTCCACTGCGTCACACGCTCCCATTCTAGAAACATAAGGAATAAAATATTCGGTGTTAACTATCTCTTATTTCTTTATGATGCACCATTTATACTGCACGATACCTTTAACTACAGCACGCGTCGTTTTATTTCCCGCACAACGAAAAGGTTTCTTGTTCTGAAAGCGCCGATGTAAATGTAGCCGACAACTAAATCAGGTACAGGCGAGAGAAACTACTAAAATTTAATGATCGAACCCCTCTGTTCAAAGCACCATTAGTAACTAGAGCTAGTAAGCGTTGTTCTCAATTAAAGTGATACTATGAAGTAAGCGGAATGCAAGAAGTTTACGCCAGATCATTCTCATTTACGAATCAGTTTTCTAGAGCAAACTTATCAATTCCGCTACGTGTCGATTCGTCATACTATCTGATCGTCTGAAATCCTCATAGAGTTGCAAAGATATACGTCCATGATTTACAACAGCTTCGAGAATAAAGAACACAGAAAAAGCTAGGAAAATAAGAACCATATTAACAAAGGGAAAAACAGCCATTGTTGAAACACAGTGAACGAGGTGAGTCACACAAGAGTCATGGCTATCGTATTGAATGGGTGTATACAAAAAAATGCAGAAATAAACTCAACATAGGTTACAAAAAACCTCCAAATGGTGATAGTGATATGATTATATAGTGGAGCACAGTAATAAAAGAGTAATATGGCAGCAGCAAACAGTAAGACCTAAGAACAGCAGTATACGAAAATGCATACCTCTAGAGAGTAAGGCTTCTCCTACAAACCCGTTATGTTCCCAATCTCTCAAGTGATCTAGATATCGGCAAATTGTAGCCTGCTGTAGAAAAACCAATGAAATCGTAACGACATAAGATGAGGAATGGTCGTATTTGTCTGACTCACAAAAATAGGGCTTGACACCAATAGGTTAAATTGTAAGTGAAGCTTAAACACAAAGCACAAAAAATGTACGGTGGCAGCCATTTTCACTACTGAATCTGCACTCAATAGAGGAGTTGTATACGTTCAGAATGAAGGTGCTACGGTAAGTACGATGGCGAATAATTTAGCATGTTGAAATGGAAATGAATAAGTAAACGTTACTGCAAGAAACCAGACATGCATTTGACAGCGGAAGTTTTAGCAACACACGACAGACAAAGAGATGGTGAAAAACAGGCGAACAAGTTTTTCTACAACACTCCAATTATTTTCATAGCAAGATGTTTCCCGAGCTTTGCGTGTTTCACAGACTGCATATACACACACCGTATCATAAGAAGTAACGTAAATTGCTGGTGGAATCATCCTTTCTGGAACACTGAGGATTTCCAAGTGATGGCTTCTTCATAACGCGACTTAGAACAAGCCGCGCTCGGTGGGAGGTAACAACCTGGTGCAGTGCAAGGTCAGCGTCGCTAACCACCCCGTCCGTTTCCACACAGATCGATATCGGAGCGAATTTTGAGAAAAATAAACATTCACAAGAATTTCGTACTAGAAATTCCTGTGACAATTAATTCATATTAGAAATCCTAGAAAAAATGATTCGAGAAGTTTGAAGAGATCTTGTCCAATAGTAGTTTCCAAATAGGTGATAGAACAAATCCATGCATGGAATCCGCAGTCACCGTTTCCTAATACCACAAAGCAGTAAAGATAAAACCATAAGTTCTTACGAATATCGTTGTCAAACGTTACTGTCTCCTAATACTAGCAGTTGGATAAAATCTTATATCTAGACAATCGTTTGAGCGAGTCACGAACAGGATAATTACAGAGCCAGGAGCGGAGCTATTCGAGTGATTTGTGACGGTACATATAGACCACCAACACGACCTCCGTGGGAAGCACACAAAAGTCGGCCAACCCTGTACGTTCAGGCACACGAAGCTCTCGCATCAAACAAATTTCGTGTGAAAAAAGGTTGTACATGCAAATACAATCATATTTCTGAACTAGTTCTTCACAACTCGTTCTAAAACCCCAGGTCCCTGGCATAACTAAACTGCATAAAGTTAAAGTGCTGAAATGGGTGTGCGCAACGTATCGAAGGATAAAATATTTCAATTACTAGTTTCAATACGTGTTGACTATGAAAGTTTTCATTTGGATCTTTAATTTTTCTCCCATTACTCCTAGTGAAAAAGTTTTCTTTCCGGTCATACCTCGCAATAAATCAAGCTAAAGCACTAAAATGGATATGGGCAGTCCTTGAGGAGAACATATCTCGATCGCTAGTATCCAAGCAGTAATGACACAATGAGCGAAAACAGCAACTAATTCTTAGCCCTTATTTACTTCTTGAACTTCTGATTACCATTCCAAATAATGTACTGCTTTCCTATGCCATCATTATGGACAAACATACTTGCTTTTCTACCGTATCTCTTTATAGTCATGTAATCTACTCAGAATAAGAAAAACAAACTATGTAAACCAATGAAGTACTAAGAAAAGGTCAGTTTGGATAATAGTTGACATTGCAACAATTTCTTATCGATACATTGGCTAGAGAACTGCCAAGCAGAATTGGTGTTCTAATAGCCCACAGAAACACTATGAACTCTAGAAATCTACTGAACGTACATGAAGAAGCAAAATAGAAATAACATAACAAACACTTTTACTGTACCTACTCTCTGAATACCTAAGAAAGTAAAAATTTAATAGTTGGGCAAATATTTAACGAAAACTAATTCGTCGTCTTCACATCTTGGGTGTAGATTCTCAAATTTTAATTTGTTCTGGCACAAAAGTGTTGTAAAAGCTCTAAAAAAGAGTTCACACCTCCAGAAATGTACAATCAACGTTTCCATTATGAAGAAACCTAACAAAGCGGCTATCAACAATATGAATACTTCGAGGGTGAAAGTGAAGCAATCAGGTCTATCAATCAGCCATTGGTGCGAGACCATCTATCCATTCGTAACACTTTTCACTAGAGTCTCTGAGTTCTTTTCCAGTAGTGCATCCTCAAGAGTTTTCCACTCTTCGTCAAAGTTTTCCAAAAACTTGGTCCGCTCAATCTCGATAAGACTTGGCTTCTCCTCCAGTGGCAACTAAAAAAAACCGTGAACTTAAACTGAAACTATTTATTCGTTTAAAAAACAATCTCACCATTTTTCTTCTATTTCGCGGTAACATTTTCGGGTCTACAGGTATCCCTCTCTTTTCCTTGTACTTCGCCTCGAACTGCAAAATTGTCTCCACCTAAATGTTTTAATATTATCAGAAGTAGTTACAGATCCACCACAACCGTTTACCGCCTCATCGTGGCTGGCAGGCGTTTCTGGGTGTTGGGCTACGATGTACAGCGAGGTGAGGAGTACGATGTTTCCATCAGGAAACCCAGCTAAGAGTGAACAAACCAATCACCACCATCTTGGTACCAAACTAGTGGCATGGTAGCAAATCTCCCTCTGATCCACAATGGCGGCGACTGCCTGTGGTGATGACGACTTGGGGAAGAATTTCGCTAGGCTCACCTCAGGACTTAAGAGAACCACAATGGCTAAACCAACAAAACTACGAAAAATTGGAAATTCTGTTGGGGCCTGTACAACCAGTAAAGACGGGCTATCCAAGTTTCCAAGTAAGTAAGTTACAGATTATCGTTTCATTATAGGTAACAAGTATTCATTCAATCGAACTGTAATGCATTGAAGGGTCAAAACTACTCGCACAGAAGTATTATATGAAGTATTATATTATATGAGTATTATATGAAAATGTGAAACTTCTACATCTCGTGCATAAGAAAACTCGAAGATTACCATGAAAACCTTCAAACTGCTATCGCACTTGACCAATTACTCCATTTACATAGTCAACAAAGCCGCGTGTGGCGCAGTGGTTGGAGGCCACCCTGCAACACACGTGGGATGGCTTCCCGCGCTCGTGGCTCACCAAACCTCCCATCCCTCTGAGATCAGCAAATTGCTACCAGACTTGTCTTGGAAGATAGCAGCACTGGCTCGATACATCGGTAGGCCAGCGTAAGTCATTATTGTAAAGGCCGGATATGCATTAAATCACCTCCACCGATACTTAATGAAGTTGAATGCATGGCGCATTCCTCAGGAATTGATCAACATAGAGAGCTTCATGCTCTTTTTTACGCAGTAAACTAATACTATTTTAAAATTAAACATAGGATAGGCGGGAAACACACATCAGAATTCCATTCGTAACCACTGGGTGAGCCAACAAGCAGATGACGCAACTTTCCTCCTGAGAGCAAGTCGATTTTTTCAAATTCCTCATCAGACATCTTTGGAATTTCCCTGAAGCTAATGCGATTAGATTATGGTAACGAAGATGGAAAGAAATAAACCGCAAACCTGCGAATTGTACTGGTAATTATTGGTTTGTCATTGTCACAAACTGCTGGCCGTTCGTTCACGTTCCCACCGACGTAGAACAGGCGACCGTTGTCATCTTCAGCAAACATATTTCCTAAAATATTATTTTATTAAAACCTAAAGGTAGGAAAAATGAACGGAAACCAGTCGTACCCCTTGCGTCTTCGACAATGTTGGGGTTTTGCAGCAAACGCAAATCAACCTCTAGTGTTTGAAGCTCATGTTCATAGTCAATTCCAAGAACCTTCAAGTTCGGTATAGTTCCTTCCAAAAGCAGCGCAGCTTTACCAAGATTCTAAAGAAATGGGCAACCAGAAAATTATTCATATTGTCACAGATTTTGTTCTTTTAAAACTATAAGACTTTGTTTACCTTTTTTATTTACTGTCTTTTTCTTCTTAATGGCAGGGTATGTTGCGAAATATAACTCGTAAGAAATGCTAAGATATTTGCAAAACTCCGGAGCGCAGGTGTATGCAGTGGGGAAGGAACACCCGCTGTTGTCCTTACCGGGAAGCAGCGCACTTCACCACTATACCATCCGGGCCTCATCCGGGTATCTCAGTATTTCATACGAGTTATAAGACTTTATTTCCAAATTTTATGGCTTTTCGACCATATTGCACATAACTTTAAAGCAAAAATTTTCCCTAAAATTACTACGCTAACGCCTATAACCCTATATAAACGCTTATGTCCCTACATAACCTATTTATTTACATGATGCAACATCTAATACTGCGTCGATTACAGTAACTATTAACCAAATAGCTCTTACTTTCTATAATACTGTTTGTTGCCTACAGTAACTATATTTACTAGTAACCACATCTTTCCTTGCACATTCTGCAAATTGTTTCTTAACGAGCATCTCATGCACTTGCTTCGCAGCTTGTCGAAAAGGAATTCTCTAGTTCCTTCTGCCAAACCGCCCCTTGGAGAAGGAATATAGGAAGTGTTATTAGTCTATCAATTAGTGTTCCAGTGCATCGCTCGGTTTCGTTCAAGTGTTTCGCTCGTGCATTGCTAAATTAAGCTCAGCCCGTTTAAATAGGTATCGTCAGATTGTTAATACTGTATTATCATTACTGCTATGAACGGTTATAACCAAAGTTTGAGATAATGCTCTGTGACAACAATAAAAAGTCTTCCGTGGCAAACTCGTACAAAGTCGACCATTCTACTTCGAGGTAGTAATTGTTGTGTGCCGTCGAAGACCCACTGAACTAACACATCGATCACAGCACCTTAAATCGATTCATTGTCTCGCATCCATCATCTAGAAAGGCTTTCATATTTGCGAGTGGGTTTGACTACTACTCCAGGATTTGATTTTCTTCAAGAATATCTCAGAATGCTCGTCAAGTTCATTATTGTTGAAATCCTGGGATAACTCTAGCACAGAGTTTCTGGGTATTTAATGCAAGAAGACGCCGGTCGTTATGGATCGATGGGAGGTCTTAGTTGACCTGTCTACCAGAAATCTTCCAACTCGGGAGAGATCGGATATTTGAGTGGCCATGGCAGAATAGAACTACTAGCTATGCGTATACTATTACATGGAACCTCAAACAATCCTTATATCGATTTGTATTGAAGAAGTTACTGGGATTCAACATGAGGATCTAGAAGATGAAGAGGATAAGAGACAATAAGCTGCTATTGAAGAGCATGTAAAGAAAGTTAAAAAAAACTTCAACAAATAGAAACAGTGTGAGTTCAGCAAAAGGAAAAAAGGTTAAACAGTTCCTGCTGCACTTCCTTAACGCTATGATGAAAATAATCCATTTCTTAGTAGCACGACAACCAATGTTGCTTGAATGCCAATGGTACTGGAAAAAGTGCCAAACACTTCACGAAGTCAGGTCCAAACCAGACAGAAATTAGTAACTCCTCTTTTTATGGACGTCATACGAGACTGTCCACTAGAAGATTCCGCCGAACCTGCTATACCAGAATACCTTCGATAAAACGGTAAAGTGCATTAAGAATTGCAGAGTTTGAGACAGACATTTAAAATTGACAGTGTTCAGTGCCGGAGTCTGACGTTTTACTACAAAATCTACACTAAAAAAAAAGCTCTAAAAAATTAGAGATACGAAACAAATCCTCTACCAAAAGGAAACAGGGCGCCTCACTAACCGACCAGTACCTTTTCAGACATCTTATACGTAGTTGCTGAGAAGGTATTATGTAGGAACCAATAAGGCACTAATGAACATGCTCCGGATGATTCCAAAACTCAAAGGAGTAGACACTTTGTTTCAGAAGGAAAAAGTAGAAAAGTAGACAAAATAGACATAAAAAATTACACTTTCCTGAATAAAATTTATAAACACAGAAGATATGACCACATTTCACCTTGGCACTGATTCCTTCTAAACGGAGATATTTGAGCGACTTCAACATTTTCAATCCCATGAGCCCTGAAACAGTTAAGACGCTAACGATATTCAAAAAAAAACATCACATGATCCCTAACAAACAATGAGCAACCATACTCCTTTGTATTCATGGCAAGTTGATATCCACCAGATTTTTCCAGTAGTAAGACAATTTCTTTAAAAATGGAACGAGGTCCTTAAGTAATTCCCAATGACATTTCGATAACCGCACACAATTCCTCGAAAACTAGAGCGCTTGAGGAAGTGAGAATTTGGTAAACCGATAAAGAGACATTGCATCATTGCTTAAAGACCATACATTACTATACCAAAACAATACTATTTTGAGAACACAATATTTTACCTTTTATTTTCTGCCTACTACAATTTTTACTTCAAGGTCCTAAGCGAAATACAACCACAACGTTGCTGAGATATTTGCAAAACTCTGGACCGCAGGTGCCTATGGTGGGAAAAGAACGCGCCATTATCCTTTGTGGGAAACGAACGCCCTATTGTCCTTTCCGCGGAGTAACGCGTTCACCACCACACCATGCGGGCCCTTCGTTTCGCCTGTCTCTCAGCTAGTTCTATCGATCAGCGCCATCAGCAATCACGCGTCAATTTTGAGTTTTGCAAATATGTCAGCATTATATACGAGTTATATTTCGCAACATACCCTGCCATTAAAAAGAAAAAGGCGGCAAATAAAAGGGTTACGATTGTGATTATAACTAAGCCTCAGCTTAACTGGGTTCAATGCCGATTTGGGCTCCCCAGAACAATCCCGTTGACGGGTGATTGCTGATGGCAAAAGATCAATAGAACTAGCTGAGAGATAGGCAAAACGAAGGACCCGGATGGTGTGGTGGTGAACGCGTGACTCCCCGGAAAGGACAATAGCGCGTTCGTTCTCCACCGCATACACCTGCGGTCCGGAGTTTTGCAAATATCTTAGCAACGTTGTGGTTGTATTTCGCTTAGGACCTTGAAGTAAAAATTGTAGTAGGCAGAAAATAAAAGGTAAAACATTGTGATTTCAACTACAGCCTCAGCTTAACTGGGTTCAATGCCGATGTGGGCTCTCCAGATCAATCCCGCTCACGGGGGATTGCTGATGGCGCTGATCGATAGAACTAGCTGAGAGACAGGCGAAACGAAGGGCCCGTATGGTGTGGTGGTGAACGTGTTACTCCTCGGAAAGGACAATAGCGCTTTTGTTTCCCACCATAAGGACCTGCGGTCCAGAGTTTTGCAAACTATTTTGAGATTTTTTCGAGTGAAAATTAAGGTGGTAATACAAATTAAGGAGGTTGAAATCTTTAACACAAGAATGGTAACCGCATACATTAATGGCAGACACTAAGGTTGGATGGAGTTTTCTTTGTTCTGTACGCTCGAAGTAAGAAATTCTGAAAGCTACATTTAAAAAAAGGCAAAGAAAGGCGATCTCTGGGCTCCACAGAAAGGAGTGGGATTTGATCTTTGTAGATGTCTTCAAGTTCCGCATCGTGCTGGTAGGATCTACGGATTCTAATGGTTTTTATTTAAATTCACAACGTTTCTTATGAGCTTACATGAAAATAAAGGGCATTTCGTTTGGCAACGACTCCTTCTATTGATACTCTTCGATATAAGCGCAAAGGAAAGGGACATGATTTCAATCTTATCCTTGCCCAGAAAGTTTTCATGAATCAGGAAGTACTGAAGCGATGTAAATAGGTAAAATACCAACACTGGTTGACTACAACTAATCAACCACATTATGCGCAATAGGGATGAGTTCATCGATTTACGGCTTGGAGTTATAACGTTGATTATTGATATCAGATCAATAAAGTGACATATAACATAGTTATATGTTAAAGTGAATTTATGACTCGAAATGAAAAGTCTCTCGCCTTTCCCAATGTCATCGTCGCTTGATATTAGTATTAACCTGTCGTCCTAACTTTGAAGTGATCTGAGTGCGTCTCTATAAATTGTGGATGTACAAATCAACCTGGTGCAACAAAGAGAAGGTGACCATGCTCTTAAGGCACCTGCACTTCGGGGCAAGAACTTGGTCCTATGTTCAACCCTCTGTGAGCAATTTTAGGACTAACCGCGTTAACATGATCAAACGGCTGAAGATTGCTTACAAGGTGGAATACCTGTTCAATGCTGTTATTATCCGTAATTTACGCCCTTTATTATCCGTTGTGTCACAATGACGTCCTGAATTCCCACAATCAACGTTGGACTTGGGGGAGGCTCCCAATGGAAAGCCCCACAACAAAGAAGACAGTGATCTAAATCGAAGGTCTTGCAAACCGATGTTTTGTCAAGATATTGTACGAGACTGGACCACCGTCTCTTTCGCAAAGGAATACTTTTTTCGCAGCGAAAACAGAAAACTGAAAAATTCAAGAACTAAAATACCAATACCACGATAAATTGGGATTTACTCAGAGCGCTCGAGTTTAGGGAAAATGTCGTTATAGTCTATAACGTTATCACGATAGTGGTGAATTGTAGTTCGATAGTCACTAAGAGACGTCACTATCAGGCATAATCAAGCTGCTACGACAAAGAAAAATCGCAGAACCCGTTGACAACCACCACTTCACTTCCGAACGTATAAAGCTCTGCAACAGGCATTAAAAAAACCGTTTTTTGCAAAAAAAACATCATGACATCGAAACCTATGGCCTGATCTGCTTGCCCGCCGACTACGAACTGCTGGAGTTACGGTGAGAAGAAACGAGAGAACACTGAATGAAGGACAGCCACGCGACCAAGCAAGTTCTCAGAAAGGATTCATAACGATGGAGCACATCCACATGATAACAAGACTCAATGAAGTATTGCGAAAGTACAAGAGAGCACTCTGGTTCACTTTCATCGATTTAAAAAACGCTTTTGATTTAGTTGAGATAGAGAAGTCATAGAAACTTCGGACGACCAGGGCGTCCCTTATCAGTACATAAAGATTCTTCATGAGTTATGCAAAA